TTTCTGTCATTCAGTCTCAAAGTATTCCAGGTATAAGAGAGCATTTTTTTTCCACAGGTCTTATTTTTTTAGTAGAGGTTTTATGGTGCTCGCAACTGCATAAGGTCATATGAGGGCCAGAAGATTAGAGGTGTTACAAGAGAGTAACAAACATAAAAAAGAAGAAGGGGAGATAAGGATGATAGATGTTTGATAGGAAAGAAGAAGCAAACCACACCGGAGCATCCGCCAACCACCCCCTCTGCAAGTTTGTGCATTTCCCTATAATTCAAACAATAAATCAAACACATGACCAGAAGAGAACAATATCCTCAAAAAAGACAATATAACACCCTAGAAGGTCACATGTTCAATTTTGGACTTCTGACTGCAGCTCAAAGAAGCCAAATAGACGAGAGGATTTTAAAAAAAAAAAAAAAACAGAAAACATAATTGGTAGTTTCCTATAAGTAGGAACAATAACATATATTTCACTGGGGATGTATATTTTTTATTAACCCCAAAAGAAAAGAATGACATGACACAAGAAAACCAGCATCATAGACAATACATAAGAGTGACCCATCCTTTCTAGACGGAAAGAAATAGCACAGGGGAAAGTCAAGACGTGGGCCCAACCAGTGGCACCCTCATACAATCAAAAATATTATGAAAAAAATCATTTTTATAGAGGAAGAATGAGTGGGTGGTGTTTGTGGTTTGGTCCTTCTTTCCTATCAAACATCTATCGTCCTTATCTCTCCTCCTATTCTTTGTAAGCTACTCTTTGGTAACACCTCTGCGCTCATATGACCTTATGTAGTTGCAAGCCCTGTAACACTCTTACTAAACTGAAATAAACTTGTAACCCCTCTAATCTTCGGCACTTGAAAGGACATACTCGAGCTGCAAGTGCTGTAAAACTCTCACTAAAAGTAAACTAAGACAAAAGCCGGTCCCAGAGTAGCTCTGTAGGTCTGACCTGCAGCTCGCCTAGCTCGCACCGTGCAAATGAACGTATACATTATCGTGTGCCGGAGCAGCGTCGCTGTATGATCTGTCTATTTTCCGCTGAGCTGCGCGACACGTCAGACGTGCTATTCAACAATGTTGTAAAACACGTCGGACATGTGTGGCACGCAGCCTCGCTTCGTGTTTATTTTCGACTGAAATTCTTTACAGATCATCAAAATCAGCGAGAAGAAAGTATTATTAGGTGCTTTGCTCTTAGAAATTGATGCTAACATCAACACCTGACCACAAAACCCCAAGAAATTAACTTTATCCAACATTAAAATTTCGAATACAGAGGTTGACCTTGTTTCAACTGTTTAGTTACATTCGTAGGCCTGCGTGCTTCTAGCCTAGAGCGGCTGTTCAGACACGCAGAGGGCGCTCACTCAGACACAGAAGCCAACGCACAGTACGGCTGTGCCGACAAGCAGACGGCGTGCGCTTGCCGAGCTGCAGGTCAGACCTACAGAGCCACTCTGGGAAACCTGCCTAAAAGAAGAACAATGATCTGACCTTTCTTCTCCTCCACCACAGGCTGCTGTTCTTCCAAGGGCTCTGGACCAGCAGGCTCTCCTGACTCCACAGCCTCAGCAGATGCTCCAGCTGACTGCCTCGCCAGCTCTGCAGCGGAGGGACCTTGAAGAAACTCTCCAAAACCATCCTCTTCCTCCACAGCTGGTATAATTTCCACTGCAGAAGAAAAAATAAAACCACATTTTTTTTATGAAAATTCAGTGTCAAAGCTTACAGGCTAAAGAAATTCAGAATAACTTCACTGGTTCTCAATTTCCTCTCAATTTCTTGTTTTATCAGTTCAAATAAAAGCAAGGAAATGTTAATAATAAAAGTAATAATGGATAGCATTTGTGTAGCGCAAATTTCCGAAGTGCTTCCCTGTGCCATTAATTAAAACATTATATTTAACAATGAGACTGATACCAACATCAAGGAAGAATCACACCACACACCTAATAAAGCAGCACCAACATTATAACAATGCCAAACACAACTCTCTCACAAACTGAAGTATAAAACTTAAAACAGACCAACAATCTCAAAATAATAGGCATGAGCTTTTGCCCCTACCCTTTTCAAAACTAAAGAAAAGGGTCTTTCTTACACACACACACACACACACACACACACACACACCTCAAGTGCTGCACAGACACAGACACTCATTGCCACACACTCACCTTTCTCCTGAGACTGTGGGGGAATCTTAGTGTCCGCGGCAAACATGGAACCAATCAGTTTGTCTGCGTCAACCTTGACGGCACCAGGCCTGCCAAACTGCCGGAGTTTCTGCCTCTGCTCCTCAAAAAAACGTTCCTTTTCAGACTGCTGTGGTGTGCCTTTGGACTTGCTCAGAGATGCTCTGCGTACAATTAGGAGGTTTATCGTGAAACGACATGTTGTATCATCCTGTTTTGGTAAGTGTTTAACGGCACTTGCAACACAATAAGGTCATATAAGTGCCGAAGTTTAGGGGTGCTACAAGAGAGTAACAAACACAAAAAAGAAGGAGGGGAGATAAAGACGATAGACGCTTGATAGGAAAAAAAGAAGCAAACCACACCAGGAGCACCCGCTAACCACCCACTATCATCCTTTACTAGTCACAAACTCTGCAAAGGGGGGGGGCACTTTACCATAATTTGATGTCTTACCGCTCGCTCGCCGCGCATCAAACATAACCTTCTGATCTAAATCTAGATCTAGATCTCTAGGTCCAAATAAGCAGGGTGGGAACTATCGAAAAGGCGCCCAGTTTCCTTGTTATTCCACACGGACATTGTGTACTAGAACTAGGCTAGAAGACCTGTGCAATAGTAAAACTGGTAGCGTGTAGACAAAAATAAATAAATAAACAGCACTGTCTATATGAAACAATGGTGTGTAGCCTTCAGCTGACTCCAACACGGACATTGTAGTCATTGTAGTAAAACTAGAAGACATGTGCGATAGTAAAACTGGAAGCGTGTAGACAAAAAAAAATTAATTAAATAAACAACACTGTCTAGATCTACTGGTCTAGAATAGTCTAAATGAAACAATGGTGTGTAGCCCTCCGCACACGCACACGCACACGCACACGCACACGCACACG